GGTGGGGCCTGTAGCGAGTAGGGATGTTGGCATATAGTCGAGTAAACAATTAAGCAGGCTCCCCACGAGCACTGGATCGGCCTACCCCCTGCCACGCTCCTGCCTCTGATAGGGCAGAGGCTGGTCCAGAGCAGCAGTCTGCATCGGGGGCGAGGAGGGGAGGAACCTGAGCTCCCTGTGGACAGAGGCTGCTGCTGCTGACCCCACAGGGTGACAAGCAGAAAGTCTGTGAGGGGAGCTGATTTTTAAATTGGCTCCCCTTGCGGACCAGCTCCCACCTGCCATCTTGTGCTGCTGCCTCTGACCCAGAGGGCTCCCCAAGAGTGGAGTCGGAGCACACTGGCTGCCAGGCCCACCCCCAAGGGCTATCAAATAGTTGTGTAACAGCTAAGATGTCATGCTGTTACAGGACTATTCAATTACAGAAACACTACCATCCCTAAGTAGCAAGAGGCCATCCTGGGCTCCATGCCCAGGGCTCTGGGGGGATGATTGCCTCAGTCCCTAGGGATGGCCCTGATAGGCTCTGGAGCATGTCTACCCTTCCCAGGGTTTCATCACTGCAGAGACTGATCCCCCAGGGGTCGATTTAGCAGGTCTAGTGAAGATCAGCTAAATCCACCACCAATCGCTCTCTTGGAACGAGAAGCATAAGGGAAGTTGACAGAAGAAACTCTCCTCTCAACCCGCAGCAGTGGAGACCCCCTCAGTAGCTTGACCTAAAGCACGTCAACTCCACCTATAGTATTCACATAGCTGGAGTTGTGTCAATTAGGTCAGCTTTGCCCCATAGTATAGACCTGCTCTCAGAGACAATCATATCTGAGGAATGGAGCCAGGGTCTCTCCTCTGCCCAGATACATCCCCTATAACTTGCTACAGGAAGGGAGTTGGTTCCTCTGACTTCATATCAGCCTAGTCCCATTTCCAGTGGCAGTCTCAGCAAGACAGCTACATCTAGATTCGAGCACAGCTCCAGCAGCGCAGAGGGTCCAAAATTGCTGTATTCTATTTTTAAAAAGCAAAATAACAGTTTTGAAAGCAGCCTGTTCTAGAATTGCCACATGAAGCTTTTCTCTAGTTTTAACACTATCACGTACAGAACAGGTTGCTACAGCTTGGAATAGGTTTGGTGCTTCCGTACCGCCCGTTTATCTAGCTACAAACTCCTTAAGTAAAGCAACTAAGCAGATTTTCTCTACTTACTAGGGATGTTCAATAGCGTGTAACTGAATAATTGTATAACTGCATCAAAAGTTAGCAGTTACATGATTATTCAATAGTCCTCCGGAGCAGAGCTGGCAGCCAGTGTGTGCCCAGGCCCACTCCTGGAGAGCCCCCTGCCACTCTGCACTGCTGCCTCTGATACAGAGGCAGACACATGGGGTGGCAAAAGCCCCGGTCTGCAGGAGTCTGAGCTCCTGCTGACAGAGGCTGCACTGGCATCCCATGGAGCAGTCTCTGTCCAATGCAAACCTGGGCCCGGCGCCTCCCCTGTGCCCTCTGCTGTTGCCTCTGATAGAGGCAGCAACGCGCAGGGGAGGGGGAAGGGATAGGCAGAGACGGTGCTCATGGGGAGCCAGCTCCCTCCAAGCACTGGCTTCTTCCTGGCCACCCCATGTCCTGCCACTGTTGGAGATAGCAAAGGGGGACAGGCAGCATCGGCTCCCGCTGTGTCCCCCTCCCCCACTGCTGCCTCAGATAGAAAGGCAGCAGCATGGGTGGGGAAGGTGGGAGGCAGCTCAGCGGGAGCCAATATGCGTGGGAAGCTGCTCCTCCTCACCCTCTGTGCTACTGCCTCTCTATCAGAGGCTGCAGTGCAGGGGTGAGGGTGGGGGCAGGCAGCTCCATGGGATCCGGTGCTCGTGGGGAGCCAGCTTAAAAGCCAGCTCCTCGCGGGCACTGGCTCCTCCCCCACCCCTGCTGCCTCTCATACAGCAAGGGGTAGAAGGGAGAGGATGAAGAAGAGTGCATATAGTTGACAGGCTTAACCAATAAACCCACATTTATCGGTTAATCATGTAGTGGACTACATGATGCCATCCCTACTATGTGCACAATACATATCTTCACGTGCTTTTTATAAACTTGTATGATCCTGTCATTTACAACATGTTTTGTTTTATAAAAAATAATCAGCCTCCTCCCCCACCCCATCAGTGCTATTGAGATAGATGCAGTGGTGTGTTCCAGATATAGAAGAATGGGTTTCCCCCCGTGGAGAGATCATGTACAATATGCCACGTGCCCCCAAGAGCAGATTTCTATAAAACCCAGGAAAACAGGATTTATGAAGTGAAATGCTGACACCAAGCAATGTAAAGTTAAGTTTTGTTCTACCACATATATATTTTTGTGGCACTGTCAAGATCACCCCCCTCCCCACGCCCTCCAAAGCTTTGTTGAAAGTTTACTTTTTAATTACTCTTTAATGACGAATGAGCCAGTTCCAGTTTGAACTAGAACTTCATTCCCAAACCTGAACCATTACAGGTGCGTGTATCCATTTCACCCAAATGACCCTTTTGTAAGCCCCGTCCCCCCCTTCCAATAAAGCAAATACAGGCAGTCCCCGAGTTACGCGGATCCGACTTATGTCGGATCCGCAGTTACGAACGGGGCCCTCCCTCTCCCTGGTCTCCAGCAGACCAAGGAGAAGAAGCAAAGCGGCGGAACACGCAGACCAGGGGGGACGGGGAGCAAAGCAGAGCAAAGCCGCAGAGCACGCGGGCAGCCCAAATGCGTCTGGGCTGTCCGCTGCCCGCGTGTTCCGCCACTTTGCTCCCCGTCCCCCTGGTCTGCAGACCAGGGGGACGGGGAGCAAAGCAGAGCAAAGCCGCGGAGCCTGGGGTTCTTAAGTTGAATCTGTATGTAAGTCAGAACTAGCGTCCAGATTCAGCCGCTGTTGAAACTTATCAGTTTCAGCAGCGGCTGAATCTGGACGCCAGTTCCGACTTACATACAGATTCAACTTAAGAACAAACCTACAGTCCCTATCTTGTACGTAACCCGGGGACTGCCTGTATTCTCCTTCCCATATAGGGCTATAAATGTGGGATTTAAAGCATCTTTATGAACCTAAACTATCCAAACCCTAAAAGACAGGCAGCCACTCAGGACACAGCAGGTTCTCTGGACAAGTGCCCAGCATAAATTTAAACACAATCGAAGTTGTGGATTCCATCAGGATTGGAAGGGAGGAAAATCTCGTGGGAGGTAAAGAATGAGAGTGCACAGAGACCTGGAGAGATGAGAGCAGTGAGTGGTACAGGTGAAGAGGACGTCCCATGTCCAAGGACAAAGAGGAAATGTTAAAATGTGAGGAGGAATCTAGGTAAGCAGTTGTGCATAGAGTACTAAAACCACTCATCTGATATCCAGCAGAGGAAACAGCATTTTCCCCTTAAATCTAACCCTTCCCCCATTTCCCTTCTCCCCCTCATGCCTTCCTGCACTCCAGCTACCTTCATTGGATTGGCTTTTTGTTAAGAGAACACTGATAGGTCTATCCTGGTATTGCCCTCCTGGGTACTCATGGTGGTGTCGTTCAAACGAGGGGCTGTGGGAATTCAGTCTGTCCCGACTACGACTTCTTGTTTCCTTGTTGTATCTAGGGTCAGGCTGATGTCTATGACTGTAATCCCTGGGTGGGCTATAGTCACCAGCACCACGTTCATAGCCATCATCTCTGTCAATGCTCCTGCCACGGCTCCTATCTCTTCTGCGTTCTCGGCCCAAACTTCTCTCCCTATCAATGCTCCTGCCACGGCTTCCATCCCGGCTGTAGCTTCGCTCCCTGCTGTGGTCTCTGCTGTGGCTTCGCCCTCTATCTTGATCTCTTCGGTAGCTCCGATCAGGGCTGTTTCCCCAGCTTTGGCTGCGCCGTCCCTGTCCACTATGCCAGCTCCTATCACTGTAGCCACTTCGAGCACTCTTGCCATCAAACTCTGCTTGGTCATCCAGTACATCAAAAGCTCTATCATCGTAGTCAAGAGAGGGGCTTCTCCTTAGCACAGTGAGCTGAACTTTCCGTGGTCTTTTCACTACCTGTGTGAATTAAAAACAAAACAAAAGCAAAGAAGAGAAACAACCACCTCTCAATACACATTTAAAATCATATTCCACATGGTGAAGATCTCCAATGCTAGGTCACAGAAACAAGAGCTCTGCACAGCTTATCATTCAAACCACTGGAAAGTGACATGGTTAAAATTCTATGTCAGTTGTTAAGACATATCCCCCCTTAGTTTCATCCATCCCCTAACAGAACAAGCGCGGGGGTTTTTAAATTGCTAACACAGCATAAGATGATAAAATAATTTTTTGTAAAGCTTCTAAAAAACTGGGCTGTGCCCAAGCCAACACTACTCTCTGGCTAAGGGAGGTACAAAACATGTGCTAAGCCTGTTTAGATGTAAGCTCTTTGGAAAGGAACTGTGCAATTTGTGTCTTGTACAGCATGTTGTCTGCATCCTAATATGGTTAAGATACTGTATTAGGATTCAGGAGAGCTGAGTTGATTTCCCCGCTCTGGCACAGGCTCTTTGTGGTACACTGGGCATGTCACCTAATCTCTCCTTTCTTCCCTTCCCCCTCTGTCTGCTTCCGTTCTCCAGCTGTGAAACGGAAATAATTTTCCCCTCCTGATCCCATGCATACTTTGGCTTTTTAATTTAAATTCCAAGCTCTTTAGGGCAGGGATGGTTTTACTGCATAAATAAACTATACGCCTAGCACAGGGGTTATAGGTACAACAGTAACACAAAGAATTTATAACTGTTAACTTACAAGGATAGCCACTTTCCCACTTTTTCTCAACTGCTGCACTGCAAAAGAATGAGGAACATTTTCCATCGAAGTCCCGTTAACCATGACTACCCGGTCATTTTCTCTACAAAACAAGTTCATGATGGATTAGAAGGCAGATCTTTTAACTTTCAAATGAAATTCCACTTTTGTTCTGAATGTCCTGTACATTCACTAACAAAAAACAGAACACAAGCTATTCTTACACATCCATGTTGGTTTATATAAACTGGGAGATCCTAAATATGTGAACAATCTGAAGGCTTCTTCCAGTATTAACTCATTGATTGTTGGTGGGTTTTGGTTTAAATGCCTCTACGTGTGATTAACTGATATGCTGATTCCAGGATCAATAATAACTTACAAGATAAGGTAAGGGTGGTAGACCAATTTCCATAGGTGAGATGAGCTTTTGAGCTACATAGAGCTCTTTTTCATGTCTGGGATGGGTATTTGGGCTGTCCAAGGAACCATTCAAGGTCAAATGGCCCTTTAACATCCTTCCAATGAATGGGGGGGGGGGGGGAGGAGGATGAGAGAAATCCAGCTGGGGTGTGTGAGTGAGTCTAGATTGTTGTAATAAGCCATAAATTCAGTGTGTCTATAGAGTCCATGAATATAGGACTATAACACTGCATACACTAACTTACAAAATCTGTTAAGAGTCAAGGGGTGCATTCTTGTACAACCTTGGCACACATTCAAGAATTTCACCTCCAGCAGAGGTTTCCAAAGCCAATTAGACCTCAGCTTTTATTCCACCTGATGTTACGGCTTTAACTGTTACAGCCACAACAACATTCCACAAATGCTGTCAAGCCCTGTTTGGTTACTGTTCTTGGCAAGGTTACTACATTGTTCTCTTACCAATTCCGGAAGAAGATTTTTTTTGGCTGTAAACCAACTGTGCTAGCAAACACACACATCACACTCTGGACATTAACCCATAGCTAATCTAGATGAATATCAGCAACTAGCTAAATGTTATGGGGAGAGAGTGGGGCAGATTAATCTTGAGGGGGATGTGAGCAATTAACCTATTTTCTGTAAAATTCCCACCATTACAGCTCTACAAGAAGGTAGCCCTAGTATAGGCAAGATGATACAGTAACTGAAACAGAGGCAGACACTGCTGGCTGCTGTACATTAGAACCCCACAGTCCTCCAGCTGGTGGAGCTACACAAGCAGCACAAACAGTGGAAAGTTTCATGAAAACAGATCTAGTGCAGACAATGCCTAAATGAAAACATGCGCAAACATGGTAAACGTGGAAATAAACTGGTTCAGATATTGTCATGTAAAGGGGAAACATTATGACAGCATCTGAAAGCTATTATCAAGGACACTAGGAATGTGAACAAAACTTCCATGAGAAAGTAATGTCTGACAATTTTTTTTTCTTAAAAACACACAAATAAGACATGCTTTATGTATAGAGCAATATGACATCTCAAGTAGATTAACTTGTTTTTGAGATAAAGGGGAAAATAAGAGATATGATTTCATTAAAAATATGGACAGTTGTCACACAAGTCTACTGAAAAAAATGCCTTGGATCAAGTCACTGGTGCAGGCTCTCAAATCAAACCTGCTATTTTATGAAGGCTTTATTCATTCCCTTTATCTGCAAAACATTCCAATCACAGAGGATAAAAGGAAGCACACTTACTGAAGAAATCCATCTGCTGGGCCACCTGCGAGTACATCTGAGATAACTATGGATGTTTCGCCATTTTCAAAATGAGGGTTATCTCTGCCACCAGATACTGCAATCCCAAACCCTCTTTTTGAGTCCTAAAAAAACCCCATACACATATACATAAAACAGAACCAAACACTATCTCCATGTTGAAATGTAATAGAGATTACGACTAAAACAACAGACTATCATCAAAGAGACACACACTTGAGATATATATGAACTGCCTTTTTCTAACATTGCATAAAATAGAATGAAAAAGCAATCCACAAAGTAACTGATTTGGTGTTTCCACTGTGAAAATCAAAACTGAGCAGGCACGCCAGATTGTGCCCAATAAAAAGGATAAGGGGACTTGTGTCTTGTTTTTTCCCCCCCAACAATGGTAGTAATTGATTTATACAAACTGAGAATCAGGCCCTTTGCATTTTTTTGCATAAATGCAAATTTAAGATTGCACAGTAATTTAATCAGTAAATCAGGGAAAGCCAGGGACTAATGTTAACTAAACCATGTTGTGTGTTATAATATTTCCTATTTCTGTTTTTCCAGTTAAATGTGACACTTACAGTGGATATAACCAAGTGTAAATGTACTATGTACCATCCAAGGCACATAGCATGTGCAGTGCACTAAGAAAACATTACTGTCCAAGCCCCAAATTGTGCATTTCTTGACTGGATTTAAGCACTGTATTTAAGAGTGGGTTTTTAAGAGGTTTTACATTTGCAATAATTAGCACACAATGATGACATTTAGATTCATGGAAAAGAATAACTTAGCATGAGTAATTATTCCTCCTCTTCATGAATGAAGATAAAGTCATTGCCAGCCTGTGTATGGGCATTACAAACACTGCCGTTCAGAATTAAAACCACTTTAAGCTACCCCAGTAATCTGGTTGGGAATGTCCTCTGGATTTTAAATCTGCCTTTACATCTCCAAGAAATGAAGAGTTACATGCATTCCCTTTGCGGAGCCACATAAATGAAGGCTCAGTCTTCTGTAGCAGATAACGAACACTAGCTGGTCACTGCATACAAGACATATTATTTCCTCAAAACATTATATTTAAAGGGGTGTTGAAGGTTGCAAAAGCCAACCACTCAAAATTTAGGAAATCAGAATTAAGGCTGCCTGTGCAAACTTAAATTTGCCCCCCTTGTAGGTACACCTTATGCTACAAATTTTAATTATAAGATCATATGCTGTTTTTGTACAGACTCCTGCTTTATTCACTACTCAGGACAGAAGATACTCTGAATGAATCAGCATTGTGTAGCGAAGGTGGCTGTTGTCCGTAGAATCTTTGCCTCACTTGAGCACAGCAGGCAATAAATTGTAGAAAAAGCAAGTTGTGACCTCTAGCGGGGCAGCAGGGCGTGGGGGGGGGGGGGGGGGGCAGAGTCAGGGAGGAGAGAGAGAAACCAACATCTGAGCTGCTCTATTTCACGCTGGGGCCTGGCATGTCCAGACAATACAAAATGTGCCCCAAATGTACAAAATGTGCCCAAATGTACAAAAATATTTGTTTTCAAAAGATAGAGATATCGGACATTGCCTTTAATAGACGAAAACTGAGAGTCCTACATGCTCGTGTAATAGCAATACATACATTTGATAATCATGATTAAGGCTAAGATTTAGTCAGGGGTATTTTTGATAAAGGTCACGGTCAGTCCACGGGCAATGAACAAAGATTCACAGCCTGCGACCTGGCCATGACTTTTACTATAAATACCCATTACTAAATCTCTGCTCCTGGGCCTCCCTGCTCTTGGGGGCTGACTGACTACTCCTGGTGTCCCACTGCTCTGAGGCCCTCAGGGAGTGCTCTCCTGATGGCTTTCAAGGCCGTTGCTCCAATTACCCTGCTATTTGGGCAGTCCCCAGGACCACCTTCGGGACAGATGTTTGGGCGCTTTCCAGGGCTGCTGCTCCAGCTGTCCCCAGAACAGCTGATGCTCGGGAGCTTCCTGGAGTCAGCCACACCAGCTGCTGCAGCAGTCACAGAGGTCATGGAGGGTCAATAAAAATCGGTAACTTCCACAACCTCTGGGACAGCATCGCAGCCTTAATCACGTTTACAGTATTTTTTTACCTCAGACTCTACTCTTCAGTATAATGGTATGCATTTCCACTGATTTCTCAATGTATTTGCAATGCACCTTCACATCTGAGATTACAGAGTACCCCAAGTAACTATATTTGCTCTACTGCTTTTGTATTAGGATAGTAAATTGCATATTTACTTATTTGGCTGATACATATTGCATTTGGACTGTTATTGCACAAACTGAACAGTAATAAAGATGCCATTTGAATGCTGTCTTAATTTCAGCTCCAAATATGTTAATAAATCTGTAGTAGCACATGTTTAAAATAAAAGCAGTGGTGGAGCATTTGAAAACTAAAAATACAAACACAATCTCTCACCTTTTGTAAGGTCACAGTGTACTGTTCCCATATCAGCTCTTCCATGCCTGGGGCCTGTAACACACAAAAAAAAAAAAAAAAACCAAAAAGCAATTAACCAATAAGCAACATAAACAACCACCCTTAAATTAAAATCTGGAAGACCTTATTTCAGAAACGGTTAAAACATTTTAAGTATTCAATAGAGTCAGTTATAGAACACATTTGTTTTTATGTCGAAAGACAATGAGACTAACCAAACACACACCTTTGTGTGTGCGCATCCACATATGTAGGCTCATACACTCTGGTAACACCCTGTGCAGTGACCAGATTGATATAAAAGAAATCACAAACTTGTTGCCATTAAGTGTCTGGATTCTGAATATGGACAAAATACAGCAAATTCAAGACCAAGGCCAACTGAGAATACATTCATAATAAAGCTCCCAATCAATGACTGGAAATCTTACCTTTTGGATTCTACACCATGATTAATAAGATTCCAATGCTAAAAGAGTACAGGCAGTCCCCGAGTTACGCTTACAAACGGGGCTCTCTCGCCCCGGAGCTCACAGGCAGCAGGACCGCCCAGAGCGCAGTGGTCCCGCCACCTCGACCTCCGGGGCGAGAAAAGCTGCTCCGGGTGCCCCTGGTCTGCTGGGGACCGTCTCCAGCAGACCAGGGACACCGGGAGCAAAGCCAGGGAGGCGTAGGGGTCCCGCACCTCTGAAGCTTTGCTCTGGAG